TATAGGAAATAAACTATTATTGAATGATGAAAAACAATATATGTTTGTTTAGTTTATTAACCTAAAATTACAATAGTACTAATACTCCCTCATTTTCATCGAATATTTATTTGGAATTCTTAAAATAAAGTCTTAAGTATAAAACCTTTAAATGACTAAAAAATTATAATAATGTATTTCAAAATCTTAAAGTACCTAGAAATGATTAGAAAATGAATATTATACTTTAGTTTAAGAGGGGATTAATGACGTATAAAGTATCACTAATAAATAAATTCTTTGGCTGCGATTTCCACATTAAGATATGACTCAATATGATAATTAAATTATATTTAGGATTTAAGAAAAAATAATTCTAGTAATTTTATTCATTATCCAATTAAGTGCATATTAGAATTTATTATGTGTATAATGGATTGAAGATTTAGTAGTTATTGATAATTTTTCCTTTTTTCATGTTAAAGTTATGATAAATCAGAATAAAATCGAGGTTCTATTCATAATAGTCAAATATAGGATTCATTGTATTGATATATCAGTGATAATCGCTTGAGCCATAAGTTTGAAGACTCCGATTGGAAATTTTTTTTTCCTAATTAATTAGTAATTGATCACTCTTTTAATATTTGTAAATATTTATTCTTTATAGAGAAAGTTAAAACAAACTTTGGAACATTAAATTTATTTTATATATCTACAAACCAATCTGTAAAGAGTAAAGCAAAATGATTTTCTGTAAACAAAATAATATATTCAGGGAGTATTTCATTAGCATACTAATGGTTGAATAGTAATGTTTTAATTTAAATATTTCTACAATAGAGCTCAACAAAAAAATCACTTAATCAATAATATATTTAACGAAACTAATGGTCTTTAAAAGAACTTATGGCATACATAATCCTGGTTATTGTTACTCTCATTATTAAAAAGAAATGACATTATATATTAGGATTGGTTTCTCAACAAGTCTTATTAATAAATTTTCAAGGTAAAAATTAAAAAATAAATATATAAAAATGGTCTAAATTATCCACAACTAAATTATTTTTATCAATCTTTTAGACTTAATTAAGGCTATTACCATCAACATTGTCTTGGAATTATTCCCTTGTCTACAATTAAGTAATAAAGGTAAAGTTGAAATTTTAAATTAATCATTATCACGAAAATTCGGGAAATTGATTAATTACCATATCATATTAATAATAATTTATCGGTTTCTTTAAATCTAATATAATATTAATTTTTTTGAAAAAAGAAAAATAAATATCTTAATTATCGAAAAATCTCTTAAAATTTATATTAAATAAAATGAAAAATTTATTACTTATTTCTCATTTTTGGAGAGATAAAGTAAACCAATTTGAAGAAATTAAGAACCAACAAGTTAAGATCATGCTCTCGTCGAAATATAAAAGGAATTTCAGAGGGTCTTTTAGAATATAAAAATTGAACAAATTAATGGTATTGTTGGTAATACAACTAAATGGATAAGTTAATTAGACAATTTAGAGCACGATGAATAGGTTTCTAGTATTAGTTTGAGTCCATCATAAAGCAATTTGATTTCATGTGGAAATGATAAAATTATTCTAGTATTAGAACATAATAAGAAGGAGAATTTTTGGATTCTAGTATAATGGATAAATGTAGAAATTAGAGGATATAAAATTTCAACTCTTTTGTATTTTAATCATGAATTTCAAATTTGATGAATGTAGAATTTATTGAATTCTACTAAATGAAATACTCATATTGATTATTTAAAAAAATCATAATTAAACGATGAAATAATTAAATTCTTATGGTAAATATTATATGTTTGAAAATTGAATTTTAATTTTGAATAATGTATTGGTATGTGATAAAAAAATTTATAATCTGAAAAGAATTAATATTAAATAGGAATGTAAGTAAATAATGTAAAATTACTTATTTTTAATAAAACTTATAATTAAATACCTTATTGCACCTAATTTCGCACAATAAAAGGTTTTATAATTAACTCGTAACATGAAGCTAAAAGCATCTTTCTAATTCATATAATAGGTCTTTACTTAGATTTATTAATTAAAAAATAATTTTAATATTAAAAATAGTTTTTATTATGTATTAGAACCATTTTTATATGTCGTAATGAGCTATACCTATGATTATAACTATCAATGATTTAAGAGGAAAAACTGATAAAAAATAGAAATATATAATAAATTAAGACCCTAATAAAATTTGGATTTATCTAACTATTATTTTAAAGTATTATATCATTAATAATGATCATTTTTTTAATTATTATTATTAAGCCACTATTTTGATTCCTTATAATGCAATGTCTTAAATTTTGTTTATTAAAGTATAATCATTCAACAATATTTATCTTGCAATTGATATCACTATAATAATAATTACATTCTTTTTGGCTAAATTATGTTATTCTTTCTAAGTTTTCTCTCAGTTTGAAAATTTGAATTATTAATATTTATATTTGGTTAACTTAATGATGTAATACTGATAAAATATATATTAATTTACATTTAAATTTGATTCATCAGCATATCAAATATAATAATTATTAATAACTATTTAACTTAAATGTATAATCCTAAGCTAGATGATATGAAAAAAAGCGGTTTAAGCACAATAACAAAAAAGTAGGCACAACCAATAATCGTTTGTTATGATAGTAAGACAAAATTGCCTCTAGAATTAAAATAAGTTTAATATACTGTTAATATATAACCTGGTTTAGCAGTAGTGCACATATGTCAAATCTATTCAACTGAATAAAACAAAGATCAATGTGAATTAGAATACTTGTTTACAATAGATTAAAATTCAGCTGTTACTAAGATGATAGTTGAACTTGGAGATTAAAAAGTTTATGGAGTTGTAAAAGAATTAGAAGAGGCAAAAAAAGAATATGAAAAGGGAATATAAGAAGGAAAGACAATGGTATTAAGCTAAGAGGATTCAAAAATATCAAATATCAAAAAAGTAAAAATTGGTTGTTTAAGTCCTGGTAAATCATTAAAAATTTAATTTGAATACATTCAACAATTATAAGTATTTCTGAATTAATTTTGGAAATTAGAATTGTCTTCTATGGTAGATACAAGTTATCTTGCTGTTAATAAATTAAAGAACACATCGAAAAATTATGCTTAATAATATTCTTTTGTGAAAAACCATGTCAACATTTAAGCA